AACCAGTTTGGATACTCTGTTTCAAAAAAAAAAGGGGGGGCAGGGGAGAGGAAACAAAAGCTCTTCTTTGGGCGCAGCGCAGTGGCCTGGCTGCTAAAGTTCTCACCTTGAGGGTGCCGGGTTCCCAGGTAGGTGCCGGTTCATGTCCTGGTAGCCCTGCTTCCCTTCCAGCTCCCTGCACCTGTGTGGGAGACCCGGAAGAGGTTCCAGCTCCAGCTGTTGCGGCCACTTGGGGAGTGAATCATCAGAGAAGATCTTCCTCTCTTTCTCTCCTCCTCTATGTATATATATATATCTGACTTTGCAATAAAAAAATAAGTAAAACTACTTTGATAAAGTTTAAAACTTAATCAAACTGGGTCAATGAAACTGTTGTACAACAAGCTCACCAAATCTTACTGTATTTTACTATCTCACCCATTTCAGAAATCTAGCAACTTAAATGCAAATTGAAAAATGCACTGAAAAATCCGAATAGAGGTGTGGCCAACGCTGTGTCCCAGGAGGCCGGGCAGCCCCTGCTGTGCCGTAGTACCACACGCAGTCCTAGCTGCTCTTCTTCTAATCCTTCTTCCTGCTAATGCACTTGGTAAGGCAGCAGCATTAGACCCACTGCTGGCCCTGCACACGTATGGGACACCCAGAAGCAGCTCCTGGCTCCTTGCTTCAGTCTGGCCCAGCTCCAGTCATGGCCATTTTGGGACAGAAGCAATGATGGAAGATCTCTGCTTCTCCTTTGTCTCCCTCCACATTCTGTCTTTCAAAGAAACAAAATAAATCTCTAAGCAGAAGAAAATCTGCAAGTCAGCACGGTGGCTCGCAGGCAGTCTGTCTGCAGTGCTGGTATGCCATGCTCACGTTCCCACTGCTGCGCTTCTGACCCAGTCTCTGCTTCCGCACTGGGAAAGCAGCAGGGCAAGGGTTCCTTGGGCCCTGCAGCCAAACTCCTGCTCCTGGCTTCCAACAGGGACCAGTGGGATGAAGGACCTCTCCATGTATCTCTTTCTCTCTGTAAATTTGTAATTTTTTAAAAATTTGAATACAGAAATATGAAGGGCTGGTACAATGCTTCACCTGACTAATCCTCCTCCTGTAAGCACCACATCCCACAAGGGCACTGGTTTGAGTCCCAGCTGCTCCACTTCCCTTCCAACTCTGCTTATAGCCTAGGAAGGCAGTAAAGAGTAAAGGACGGCCCAAAGCCTTGGGACCCTGCACCCATGTGGGAGACCTGGAAGAGGATCCTGGCTTCTAGCTTCGCAGCAGTTCAGTTCAGCTCCAGCCACTGTGGCCATCTGGGAAGTGAACCAGCAGAGCAGATGCGAGATCTTTTCCTCTCTTATCTCTCTGTACATTTGCCTTTCCAATCAAAAATAAATGAAAAATTTTTTAAATAAATTTGCAATACCTTCCTCTAAAAGCCTCATTTGTGATTTAGTACGGACTCCCATCATTCAAGAAGCAGAGTGGGGACCAGTCTAGTCGCTGGCTGGGTAAGGCTGCCACCTTCGACGCTGGCATCCCATATTGGTCTCAGCTGCTCCATTTCCAACCCACCTTTCTGCTACTGAAGCAGAGGTTGGCACAAGTGCTCGGACCCTTGCCACCCTCCTGGGAGACCCAGATGGAGGCCCTGGCTCCTGGCGGCATTTGAGCAATGAACCAGCAGATGGGAGACTGAGATTTCTCCCTCCTCCCTCTGCCATTCTGCCTCCCAAGTAAATAAATCTTAAAAGAAACTTTTAAAGATAGTCAGCAATAAAAAGGGCTTGCTCGACTGAGAAATCTGAGATTCCCCTGCAAATGCAGTCAGCAATTTGCCTCTTAATTTGAAATTTGAGTACGTTACAATATAGTATATGGAGTTTCACTTTATAAAACTATTGTTAATTGTTACCGCATTGTTCCCCTACCTAATCTCAATGATATCTACCAGTGGTTTTATTTACTTGCCATCATAACCTCTGACACACGCATGTGGTACACCCATTCTCCACACGTCAGACGCAGATTTTGTTTTTTCCGAGGTCAGGCAGTCTTTGACCAACCCTCTTCTGCAACCCGGACTGGGTGTAGACTCTGGGAGAGGTTTGAACCAACACAGACAAGATGGCCGACTCTGGCGGCTCTGTGGTTTCCACAGCCAGACGACCCGTGCTGCACAGGCATTCGCTGCCCTCTCCAGCCTTGGCCTCTGCATCCAGGAAAGGCAATCAACATTCCAGACCTTGACCTGAAAGTCACTTCCAAGCACCACAAGGACTGCCCCACTGAGGGTGGCTAAAGCGGCTTCCCCAAAGGCTGGCCACACAAAGACACACGCAGGTGCAAAAGCCAGCAGCCTGACAAGAAACGCAGCCCCAGCTCCATTCTCTCCAAGACGTGGGAAGCTTCTTCATTGTTTGCCAACCACCTTGCCTTCCTCCTAGACATCGTGGCGACATTTCCTCCTCATTCATTCTCTTTTCACAACAAACAGCAGGCAGTTCCTCAATGACTGTGTTCCAGGATCCTTGGCCCCGCATGTTAAAAGGCATCACCTGAAAAACTCCATCAGCAGGGAAAAGCAAGCACTAATTCTCTCTTAAATTTTAAATGTGCAAATAAGCTATCTGGGCCAGCAAGTATCAAATGCTTTATACTAAATGAATCTAAAACAAGACAGTAGTAGGCCTAGTGTGGTAGCCTGGTGGCTGGGCTCCTCGGCTTGCATGTACAGGGATCCCATGTGAGCACCAGTTCTAATCCCAACACCCCACTTTCCATCCAGCTCCCTGCCTGTGGCCTGGGAAAGCAGTCAAGGACTGCCCAAAGCCTTGGGACCCTGCACTCACATGGGAGACCAAGAGGGGAATCCGAGCTCCTGGCTTGGGATTAGCTCAGCTCCAGCCATTAAGAGAGTTTGGGGAGTGGATCAATGGACAGAGGATCTTCCTCTCTGTCTCTCCTCTCTGTATATCTGTCTTTGCAATAAAAGAAAAATCCAAAAAGAAAAAGAAAAAGAACAACAGACAGTAAGCATCAGCAGCACGTGACAAGCGCATTCACTCTCTAGTGCATTCTGAAGCATCCCTGAGCAATTCCTTCTCAGCTTTCCTTTAACTGCAGACACAGGCATCACTGTGTAACGGATACTGTTTCCAGTGCCTCATCAGCATCAGTTCATGTAATGCCCGTATCAACCCCGTGCATATTCACCATGCTTACTGACAGGAGACAGAGCTTGGGCACGGAGAGGCTTAATGAGCTCCCAAGGTGCCCAAAGCAAGGCCACCGAGAATGGACCAAAGTGCCCGGCTCTGGTCTGTGCTGTGAACTCTGGTCTGCGCTGTGAACTCTTCCGCGCTCCTTACAGCACTGACTGCTGGGAAACCACTAGAGGGCCTGGGTTGTGACCATCCTCTCCCAGCTAGTCTGGAAATGTCTTGAACCTGCAGGCTGAACCTGCGGGGGCGGGGGATGCTGTCCCCTCCGGACTAGGGGTCCACTGCACCTCCTCCTGCAGGGCAGAACCTAACTTAAGACACCCTCCCTCAGGAGCTCCTGCTCTGGGCTGTGACAGCACTTGCTGGAGGAGTGCATTTGCTATTTACAAAGCCTTGAAAAGTAAATTCAAATAGAAAGAATCGCTGTCTTAAAACCCAGGGAATGCCCTCTCCATCAGCACCTCGCAAGAGATCTGAAACCTAAAGCTACCTTGGTACCGTCCACTGACCATCAGACGTTAGAATCACCCTTCACTGTACAGCAACGCTCCCCTGAACAGAGCCATTTAGCAAAACACTAGATTTAGCAGTGGCTAAGTCTGGATATGATTCATTTACTTTCAAACACTTTTTCGAGAATCCTTCTAAGCGGCAAATTCCCCTTCCTTAACTCAAAAACCAAGAATTTAAACACGAAGCTTAATTTGGGTAAGGGGAACCACATCAGACAAGGCTGAGCATGAACTACACAGCGTTTCAGAGAGCAATTGCCAACGGGGGCCATCTCACAAGCACTGACACAGCCACTGAGCCCCCAGAGCCGGCCGAGGCAGGCTTTCCACAGCCCACGACTCCGCCGGATTATCACCTCACCTCGGAGCCTTTCCTGGCCCCCTAGCATCCCAGATCTGCACTTAACCCACTCTGCACCTGCACTTTTCCTTAAACCCGTCTTGGATTTTTCAGGGCTCCTGAACACACGTCGCTTCAAAGTTCCCTGCAATCAGCGACTTCTTGCCACACACACTTGCCTCACTCTTTGTCCTTTCCTGTCATCACACCAAACTTCTGCCTGAGCCTCAGAGAGCACGTACAGAAACCTGAAAAGATCCTCCCCGTAACTATTCTGAAAAAGTAAAAAAAAAAAAAAAAAAAAGTTTGGGTTTATCTTTTTTTTTTTTTTTTAACAAAAGAATCCACTCTTAGAAATGTAGTCATTCCTGCCAAGGCCACACCTTCTAACCTTCCTGTAATCCACGAATCAAACCGAAACTGCTTCGAGCCGCTCAACAGCTTACCGGCACCCCGTTTCCCTACGACGGCAGAGCCAGGCCCCCCATCCCCAAGGCCACTCCGGAAAGCAGCTCTGAGGAAATGCCTCTCGCATCACGGCCCCTTCCTTCCTCGGGCGGGATGCTGGGCTGAGGGGGGCGGAAGGCACTCCAGACTGGGGGAAGCGCACCCCAACGTCCCACTTCTGCCCCACCAGCGTTTCCTTCCACAACCCACGGCCGGGCCGAGTGCCGAGCCCGCCGGCCACTTGGAGGGAAGAGAACCGAGCGCGGGCCGTCGAGCGGGGCGCCTCCCTCCGCGGCTGAGCCCGGGCTCCGGCTTCCCCCGCCCCGCGGAAGCGCAGATCCCTCACCCCAAACACAAACACACGCCGTCCCGGGCCGCCCTCGCCCACCCGACGCCCCCCGCCGGCCCCGACCCTCGGCCCAAGCCGCCCGCCAGACCCGCCCTTCCCGGCCGCTCCCCGCGGCCGCCCGGCGACGCCGAGGCCAGGCCACTCACATCCGTCCGCGTCCTCCTGCAGGTCCTCCTGGAGCAGCGAGAGGTCTGCGCCGGCGGAGACAAGAAAGGCCCGGTCAGCGCCCCGCGGCCAAGCGCGCCGCCCCCGCCGCCCACCGCCCGCCCTCCTCGCCCCGCGGCGCCTCCCCGCGCCAGGACCCCGCGCCGGCCCCGGCCGGCCAGCCAGTCGGGGCGGCAGGAGGCGGCTGGGTGCGGGGAGGCGCCGCCCGGACAACAGGGGGCCACGTACCCGCCATCTTGTGGTCGCCCCCTCCTCCTCCTCCTCCTCCGCCGCCTCCTCCTCCTCCTCGGTCTCCCGGGGATCCGGGGCTACATGGAGCGGCGCGAGCCGGGGAGCCGGTGGACGCGCGCGGGAGGGGCGGCGAGGAGGGCCGGGCCGGCGGGGACGCGCGCGCGCGCGCACGGGGCGGGCCGAGGACCGGGGCCTTGCGGACTGCGCGGCTCCCGGACGCCCGGGCCCTCGGCCTCGCCCCGCCCCGCCTCGCCGGGCCTCTCGGCGGCGGCGGCGGCGGCTCCGGGTCGGCCGGCCGGCGCGCCCGCCTCCCACCTCCCGGCTCCCGGCCCGGAGAGGCCGGGCCTCGCGCGCGCTCACACCCACGGCCGGCCGAGCGCTGCTGCGGACGGCGGGCGCGCAAGCACGGGGCCCGGGGCCGGGATCCCGAGGCGTGTGCCGGAACCTGGTGGCCGGGCGGGGCTCCTCCCCGCCGCCCCGGCCGCTTTATTGGGTCACCGGCGTCGACCCCCCGCGCTCGGCGCCCGCGCCCCCTTTTCCCAGGCCCGCACGTACGTCGTCGGTGATCCGAGGCCGGGGGCGGCTCCCGAGGCCGCCGGGGCCCAGGGTCCCACCTCCGCTCGCACGAAGCGCCGCCTCCCCGCCGTCCGGGGCCCTCGCCCAGTGGCTGCTAACAAAGCCCGGGGCCCGGCTGCGGGTGGGGGGTAATAATGCAGCCGGCGAGCTGCCCGCGCGGGCCGCTTTCCCTGACGGCACGTTGCCCCCCTTGTCCCGCGAAGCCGGAACGGACAGGGCGGGAAAGTCGGCGGCCTGGAGAGGGGTGGCAGCCCCGGGGGGCGCGTCTGGAGCCCCGCCGCCTAACTTGCTTGGGTTACCCGTTTGTAGGAGGAAAGATGAACAAAGAATGTGAAGAGCCTGTAGGTAGGAGGTGCTGGCTGAAGCGTGCTTAGGGTGAACTTTTTTTTTTCTTTTGGTGTGTTAATTTTGGCACGTCGTGAACCGCAGAAGTCGGCCAGAGCTTCCCTCATTCTCATTGTTTGCGTGAACCTAGCGGCTAGCTCAGGCTCCCACGTACAGTGTGGCCAGGCCCGGGTTTTCCGACTCCTTTCTCCTACTTCCATGACTAGTCCAAATCCGACTCCACTGAAGATCTCCGAAATAGGAGGGAAAAACACCGGCTTAGGAAGTGATGCCACTTTGGGGTTCGTGTCTCTTTGAGAGGAGAGAAAATTCTAAGTTAGCTTATTCCTTACTCCGTTGTCATTTTAACCTAAAACAGTGTATTGGCGTTTAAGGCCATTGTGTCAGAGCCTCTCAAATCCATACCTCTGTGACGAAGTGGCTTCCTCATGGTTACTCCAAAAAACATCTCTCAAATAGTATATACAAAAGACACGCCGCGTCCCTACGTGTTACATTTGTGACAGTCAAAATTAGGATCTACCTCAAAGTGTGAGTCTAATTTTCTCAAATGCTGAATAATTAAAAATAAAAGTCCAAACTTTCATCTCTCTTCTCCTGCAGCAAGACCTCATGTGAATTCAGCTAACACTCTTTCTCCAGAGGGAGTTAGAAACTCACAAGTTAGCAACAAAACTAGACCCAACTGACTCAGAATGTTCTTTGCTGCTGTGGACCTGCCACTTGGCCAGCTCTGGATAAAGGAGGAAAGACCTAAATCCGCTCTGTGCATCCAAGGGTGACTGCATGGGGAAAACCCAGCCATGCCTCAATCAATGGGCATCCGAAGCAGGAAGCCATCGCGATGAGCTACCCGGGAGAGACAAATGTGAACCACTTGGCCATTGGGACCAAAGCTAGCTGAGCCTGTGAAATGGCTTCCTGCGCCCTGGGTAGCCGGGTCCCCCTAAGTTTTAGCTCAGTATTCTCTGGGAAAGGCAGCCAGGAGAGGAAGTGTGTACCTTGCCCACATTGGTCCAGAGCCGTGCGTTTGACTGTCCTCTTAGCTGAATTACACAACAGGTGCCTTTAAGCAGGCTGATTTTCAGACAATTCCGAAAGGGTATCTTTATTCATGGACATGTTTCCACATTTGATTTTCTCTTGCTCTCCTTTCTGGAAAGCAATTTAGCTCTATAAACTACACTCTGTTCCTTCCCTGTCAAAGACATTTAAAGAAAGAATAACCATCGTTGTTCTAAGTGGCTTTGCCCAAATTTAACTTACAATGTATCCTGAGAATGTGTGATATTGTATTTTATCTGATGGTTGGAACAGGACACAGAGTTCCCACCCGGCTTTGCCACTGACATTGCAGATAGGAGAAGTGTCCCAAATCAGTTTTTTTTTTTTAAGATTTATTTTTATTATTTTTTTTTATTGGAAAGGCGGATATACAGAGAGGAGGAGAGACAGAGAGGAAGATCTTCCGTCCGATGATTCACTCCCCAAGTGAGCACAGCAATGGCCAATGCTATGCCGATCCGAAGCCAGGAGACTCTTCTGGGTCTCCCATGCGGGTGCAGGGTCCTAAAGCTTTGGGCTGTCCTCGACTGCTTTCCCAGGCCACAGGCAGGGAGCTGGAAGGGAAGCAGGGCTGCCGGGATTAGAACCGGCGCCCATATGGGATCCTGGGCGTGCTAGGCGAGGACCTTAACCACTTGCGCCACCGCGCCGGGCCCCCAAATCAGTTTTTTTTTTTTTTTTAAGATTTATTTATTTATTGGAAAGCCAGATATACAGAGAGGAGAGACAGAGAGGAAGATCTTCTGTCCGATGATTCACTCCCCAAGTGAGCTGCAACGGCCGGTACTGCGCCGATCCAAAACTGGGAACCAGGAACTTCTTCCGATTCTCCCACACGTGGGTGCAGGGTCCCAAAGCTTTGGGCTGTTCTCGGCTGCTTTCCCAGGCCACAAACAGGGAGCTGGATGGGAAGTAGAGCTGCCAGGATTAGAACCGGCGCCCATATGGAATCCCGGCGCATTACAGGCAAGGACTTTAGCCTCTAGGCCACGCCGCCAGGCCCCCAAATCAATTTTTTTGAAAGTTTTATCCACAGTGAGCTACTAACACCTGAGTTTTTGAAAATAAATCCTTTTCTAAGTGATAGTGAAAACATTAAGACATATATTTTTAAACCTGAAATGTTTAATGTATTTCAAATAGAAAAAAAAAATTATGAACATGCTAAAAAATAAAATTAAGATATAAGCCTATAAAATGTTAGCTATCATATTAACATAATTCTTGAATTAATGGTGAAAATAAAATATTTTAGAAAACAATTTCCCTTCTCATAGGTTTAAATCCCAAATTCTTTTTGTACCTCAGATCTTTAAATGGGATCTATAATTTCTGAAAACTGTTACTGACTTTAGCATGAAAGCATTTGTGGGCCCAGCGCAGTAGCCTAGTGGCTATAGTTTTCTGCTTGCGTGCGCCAGGATCCCATATGAGTGCCTGTTCTAATCCTGGCTGCTCTACTTCCCATCCTGCTCCCTGCTTGTGGCCTGGAAAAGTAGTAGAAGACGGCCCAAAACCTTTGGACTCTACACCTGTGTGGGAGACCCGGAAGAAGCTCCTGGCTCGTGGCTTCAGATCAGCTCAGCTCTAGCCATTGCAGCTGCTTGGGGAGTGAACCAGAAGATGGAAGATCTTTCTTTCTGTAACTCCTTTTCTCTGTGTACCTGCCTTTCCAATAAAAATAAATAAATCTTAAAAAAATTTTTTTTCTTCATTGATGTTTCAGTTTCATCATATAAATGGAGAGTCTGATGCTGTTTCCTGAACAATTTTAAAGATTCATTTATTTTGGTTTGAAAGGCAGACTTAAGCAAGGAGAGACAGAGATATTCCACCTGCTGGTTCTCTCCCCAAATGGCCATAATGGCTGGAGCTGAGCCAACCCAAGAACCAGGAGTCTCCTCCAGGTCCGCCATATGGATGCAGAGGCCCAAGGGCTTGAGCCATCCTCCACTGTTCTTTAGTCCATAAGCAGAGAACTGGATAGGAAGTGGAGTAGCCAGGACTAGAACTGGCACGCATATGGGATGTAAAGCCTGCAGGTGGAGGATTAGGCTGTGAGCCACTGAGCAAGCCCCAATGTTTCCAGAACAATCTTAATGTGGTCATGTTTCTGGTACGATTAGCCAGGATCTCTCTCTGGTCTAACACAGAGCTGAGTGACCCAAGGAAGGAGTGACTGCAGCTTCCAGAGAGACCCTGTTGAGCCCCACCTGTGGACTCTAGGGCTTTGTTCTTACAAGCTGAGTCAAGCTGGTACAGATTTCCAAAAACAAGGTTACTACAATAGATATTTTTAAGGTTTATTTTTCAGCTACTTCAGATAGAGTTGTCTTCCCTCTGCTGGCTCGTTCCTCCAAGGCCTGCAGCTGCCTGGTGTCTGGGCTGGAGCCAGGTGTCTCAGCTAGGTGACGGGTCGTCATGTGCTGCCTCCCAGGCTGGCTCAGGGACCGACCAGCCGACTCACTGGGCACTGTGCTCTGAGATGCCAGCATGACAAGCAGCAGCTCATCCACTGCACCACAGTGTCCGCCCCCAGAGGAAATTTTTCTCAGCAATCAAGGGAGCTTGGCAATGAAGGCTTTTTGGCTCTTCAAAATTCGATGTAAAAAACACCATGGGGAACACATTGCTAGCACAAAAACAAAGCAAAAACATCTCATTTATTAACTTTGTAGTATATGTGCTGCCAAAACGAGCACTCATTTATTAACTTTTACACTGAAATGTTTGCCTCTTTTTCTTAAGACTAATCATTCCAGAAGTGCAAAGTTGAAGGCAAACCTATTTGTTATCGCTTTGAATGATTAAAAACTGGATTTGAACGACAGGATTCATCTGACAGTGAGGAAAGACTTGTAAAAATGCTTTCGAAACATGTTTTACATTCTTGTTAGTTCATTTCTCGGTGTTTTTTGGAGCCAGGTTGATGTAATGTCTCTCACAGACTGCCATTCTCAAGTAAGAACAAAAAAAATATTGTTAGTCAGTTGCCAGTTCAACCTGAAGCTGCCAAATAGTTTTGTGAATTGGATGAAGGCAAATACTTGTATTGGTTCCTGGTGAAGCTCTCTGATACGGTGATATTCCAAAATGTGAAATTTTAGTCTTTTCTAGAACTTTGGTTTTTTTTCAACAACTTTTGATCTTTTTGATTCACATCA